GTGCGTGCGTGCGTGCGTGCGTGCGTGTGTGTGTGTGTGTGTGTGTGTGTGTGTGTGTGTGTGTGCGTGCGCGCGCGCGCGCGCGCGCGTGCGTGTGTGCGTGCGTGTGTGTGTGCGTCTGTGTGTGCGTGTGTGCGTGTGTGTGTGACATCTCCTGCAAATGACGTTGCAAGAAGGAGCGGTGAAACAAAAGCTGATTTGCAAATGTATTTTTTTCACAAATTTGAATATGAAACATGCAAATCCCAGAGTTGATGTTGTGAGATATGTCATAGGTGGAGCTTTTATTTATAAACAGCAGCTCCTGTGGCAGTTGATCTGTCAATTTGACTAACAAATAACTCACCAACATGTTTTCAGTTGGCTGCACTCTATGGACTCTGTTTGTGACACCGTTTCCAGCAAACCTGAAACCAGCACGAAATGAACGATCAAAATGAGCGATGCTAGGAGAACGAGCGGACAGCTGCTCTTTAGGGTCGCGCCTGAGATATGAACTCTGCCTAACATGGCAGGGTGGATGCCTGGACAGTGTACAGTAGACTTATAATGAAGAGGGCAGAGACAGGACAGAAGACAGGCTCCAGCCTCACGCCATTAGAGGTGATTTGTCTGCCAAACTGATCCCAGTCCCGGTACTTTTATCAGTTTAATGCCCAGGCTGCGTTCATTATTTCTTTGCCGGGAGGGTCAGCCTCTCTTCAGCGGAACAAGTGTGGGTTGTGTTTCTGTCAAAGAGGGAGGGGGGTTAGTGCTTGACCCGCAAAGCCATTCAGCTCTGAGAGTGATCCATTGTTTGGCTCCTCTCTTTGTTCGCTGCCTGCCGAGAGAAGGGGCCGGCTAAAGGGGAGAGAGGGAGCAGAGCCGGGGTCTCGCAGGGTGCCGGGGGTCCGCACTCACCCTCAACACAGCCTCACCTACACTCCTTTTAGTCTTAAGAGGCCATGCAACTTAATTCTTATTCGTGTGTACTGGTGTTTTCGCAAACTGAAGACACTCACATCACAGGTGAGGATGGTCTATATGCAGCAGCTGAAATATTTAGAAAGCTGTAGATTCTAGAAAAGAGAAGGTCGGATACTGAGTGTTTCTTTATTGTAAGTCTTAAGCAAAGAGTATAAAAGTGTGTGATGGGTCTCATTGATGTGAAAGCTTCATATACAAAGCTGGAGAATAATAAGTAAAGAATATGAGTATCTGCAGCTTCAGACAGAATCAATATTTCACAGCCATGTTTGCAATTCTTGAAATTGTTATTGCAGCTTTTAATTAACAGTACCACAAAGTTAACAGTAGATTCAAATAAATGTAATCTGCAGAAATGCAAAGATTAACTCCCCAGTTATCAATATATTGAATTAAACAATTTTCCATACAAAACAACAGGATGTTTAAAAGCTTCTGTTGTCTCCTGTTTAGTCTGTATGTAATATAAAATATGATTTATACACACATACACACATACATGTGTCATGTAATCTGTAGCACTGAGAGGTTGCATGCATTTCTGTGTGGAAGTAAAATATTCTCTGGGTGTTTATGGTTTTTCTTGTGCATAGAAAACCCATGAACCCTCTCCATTTGGCAACAACTTTTGTTTTTAAATCGTCCCTTTGTCCTGATTTGTGCAGCATTAACAGATAACACATTAACAATAATTGTATTTGTAAGGCTCTATTGTTTATCGGTACTGTACTTATCTGTCTTGTTTAATATGAAAACACAAACAGAAGCAAAGTTAGACAAAAGCCATCAGTACACCCACATGATAAATCCCCCGAACGAGGTACAAACAGATGTTTCATTTACACACCATCTGTGTGAGATGAATTACAGATGATATTAGGAAGACATATTTGTTTGAAGTCAGAGTTATGAATCCGTTAATCAATTCATATCCGCAGTTTATCACTGATTAAAGAAACAAGGCACAAATGGCTCACGTCAGTCAGCTATTTAAAAAGCCTAGTGTGTGCCTGGTGTGGGTGTGCAGCCAATTATTATATTGTTGCACACTGAAGCATTATTATCTCCTCTTATAAAACCTTCTAGTTTTCGCTTTAAGGCATTGTGTGTCTCGGCCAAGTTTTATTCCAGAAATACACATTACTGTGTAGCTCTAAAACTGCACTTAATAAATGTTGAATTGTTCATGTCTCCACAGGCTAAACTGTACCTGCAAATCTCTAACACTGTTATTTACTTTAAGATAAGATCTCAGACTCCCAGGTGTTTTCAGTTAGTCTGGCTGATTAGACACGTGCTCAGGTTGCAGTTGGGTGGAGTAGCGCTGACTTTACCTTCAGGTTACAGAACTCTGTGTACAAACAAGAGAGATAAAGGTGGAAGCTGCCCCGCCCCAACAGGTGCAACAAAACTAACAAACGAGCAAGGGAGATGTCAATCAAAGTAATTCAGGACACGCCCACAGAGTCTAATCTGGCAAATAAAGGGAACACCTGTGAGCTGAGCTGTGACTTTGAGCTACACAAACAGCAAGCTGGAAAGACTTCTGTAAATCAACATGTCAGGTAAAGTAACTCCTCTGTCCCCCTCGTAAACAGTGCAATAAGGCAGAGAGCAGGTAAATGACAGCACTCATAGTCACAATATGATATATATATACAGGGTGTGTTACAACTGACAACTGACTTTTTCAAATGTTGGCCAATGACTCCCTTCTACCAAGTTGTTCTCCACATGGTAATAAACATTGAAGCAAACAATTAGACAAAATCTGTTAACTTTAGAAAATATTACGTCTTTCATACATTATTAAACCATGCTACTCGATTAACAACACTATAATACTTTTGATATTAGTGTAGCCTAGTCTGTATCTGCAATCGTGCAGGGATACATATTTTAAACACAATGAAGAGACATTGTAATGGATGAAGCGCCTCACTGCACATTTACTTGTTCTACAGCTACCTTACGCTAATAATTAAAGTGTCAAACTGTCTCATAGCACATAGGGTTCAAACACCAATGGTTGAAAACGCATACACAGGAAAAAATCTGTTTAAAAATAAATAAAAGTTTTATGAAACATTAGAATATTTGTACAACTTCTTAACTTAGGATACCTTCCCCCCTAATTGCAAAACCTCGAGAGAATATGCAAAAAAAGCTTTTTTCACAATATATATTCGGACCAGAGTCTTCTGTCAACTAACTGGGTGTTTCTCAATGTCGAGGACGCTTCCTTGGTAGGACATGTCTTTCGAGTCAGGTCCTTCAGAAGCAAGGCAAGAATCCTTCCTAGCCTCGGAAAACGAAGAATGGTGGAACAGGTGTGCAGGTGTGCGTCATATGCGAGGCCCCGCCTTAAATGGAGCGCGATTTCCGCCAAAGATTTGGGAAATTGGTCCGTGCGCAAAGCATTGTGGGGATTTTAAGACCGCGGAGGATACACATGTGCAGCCTCGAAAATGTCCCGCAACGAAAGAAAGGGCCGGCCCCTCAACACTCGGTAGAGATCCTCCAAGTTATCCTGGCCCATTGAAGCAGCTCGCTTCGGCGGAAGCTCGATGACGTAGGCTATCCTTGGAAAATTAGTGGCTCTGGAGGATCCTTCTCGACATTCGCGCGCCAAACGCCACTGTCTGTAAATAATTCCTGCTTTGTCAGACAGGAAGGCGTTGTATACAAGTGGTGTGTCGCTTTCCTCCAAAGGTCAACAGCGGTCAAAGAAGGCTAAAAGTTGAAACTCGGTACATTTGCTTAATAAGCTTTGGCCCCCTTTTTACTAGAAGAAACGCAACCTGATAATTGTGTTCTACCCCGGGCCACCAAAGCCGTTTAACAGAAGCCTCGCATATTTCCATCCAGCTGTTAGAACATCCTCACACTTTATCGGCTCCAGTGTTTCCTAAGCGCTCGCTGCAGAAACACCACCGCTGAAAATTAGCTCAACGCGCAGGGTGGGCAAGTCAAATTGTCTCGCTGCGTGCTTTTGGTGACTGTGGGGGGGGCTTGGGGCTGATGGCTAGTCTCACATTNAGGTAACATTAAGCTTTCTTTGGCTCTTTTCTGCTGTAACAATGTAAATGTCCCCTCTGTGGGACTAATAAAGTTATTCTGATTCTGATTTCTTAATAATAATAATAATAATAATAGCAAAACGTTGTAAATATATCACCTTTCAAAACATAGTTACAACATGCTTTCGTATAAAAATACACAGAAAACAAGTGAACTAAACAACAGCATCTAAACATAAGAACACAGAGTAAAACCGATAGAAAATAATTAAAATAAAATAAATAGATTACAAGTAAATGAAGAAAAAAAGCTTTCTTCCCTACGAAAGTAACACCAGGGATTGACCAACTAACGAGTCCTTCATTTCTTTGATACGTTAGATAATAACAAAAGAAGACAGCTATAATACATTTTTGTAATAAATCCAGATGACTGACCTGATGCCAGAGCACATGTCCAGCCCCATCTTAACGCAGTTCTTAGCGTGTGTGGGGATGGGATCAGGTAGACCAGACACACAGTAGTAACAATCACCCAGGATCTTAATGCGGAGACACCCATTTTTCTACAGATGGAGACAAAACAGAGAAAGGGAGTCAGACGCAGTATTAGGTGACTCAAAACTGTCCTTTGAGAAGGAAGAAGTCACTTTGAGGTGGTTCTGTAGATGTTTTTACCTTCGCGATGTCATCAAATCTACCAAAGAGTTTGTTGAGAACAGCCACCAGCTCCTCAGGGGAGCAGGCACTCGCCAGCTTTGTGAAACCCACAATGTCTGCGTACAGGATGCTACACACACACACACACACACACACACACACACACACACACACACACACACACACACACACACACACACACACACACACACACACACACACACACACACACACACACACACACACACACACACACATTAGTATGATAGAAGGTGTCAGTGACTCTCAGTGCTGCAGAATAAACACAGGAAATGTAAAACCATTTTTGTAAGTAATTGTTGTTGTCTAATTTTTCTTTGATGTACTTTTAGTTATTTTATTTATCAATACAAATTTGATCACAAAAAAAGGAAATGTAAAACCGTTTTAGACATCTTAAACCTGTAGTCTTTCTCTTGGATATATATATATATTGTATCTTCTATCTGTCAAGAAGGACTTTTAAATACTATTTAAACATAGGATTGTACAATTTAATTCACGTACACAGCTTCATGCCACTGTAAGAAAGACTTTATTTAAATATTGATTAAGAGCTATAGACTATATATATATTACGTGTAGTTCAGTTGTGTACTTATGTTGTACAAGTATCATTAGTAATTCATATTAAAGGTCACAATGAGGGTCATGTCTCTATGCATTTCAAATGTAATATAATAATAATACATTTGACTTGTGTAGCACAAGTAATGACAGTGCAGATGAACTACAAAAAAGTGAATGTGCAGTATAATAGTAAAAAATATAATAATAATAATAGTATAGTCTATAAAGTAATCTTCACCTGATGTCTCTGTGCTTGCGGACGTAGAGGCTGTAGAAGTTGTGAGGGTTGTTTTCATTCTTCTTCTCAGTCTCGGGTTTGAACAGCTTCTTTATCACCTCCGTCTTCAGCTCCATGGCGATGTACCGTGGCAACACTGACAGCAGCAGCTTCTCCTGTTGCCATGGACACAGAGATGACAGATATTGTGATGAGTTTTGAGACTCTGCGTCTGCTGTATAAGAAACAGGAAATAGCCTCTTTTGAAGCGCTGCGGTGTTTACTCAGTGGACCGTGTTTCATCTATCTGTTTACCTGCCGTGAATAGCGTCCATACAGGTTTGCCTTTTCGATCGCTGCCGGGCTTCGGACGAGTGAATCATTAATCTATTGACCTAATAGCCACAAAGGCATACAGCGACTTAACCCAGGCTGTCGAGGTAGAGAGTCTCTTTGATAATGAAGTGATTGCACGTAACGATTTTAAATCCAGAAGGACAGACTATAGATATAGCAATTATACCTGTCATTTGTATGGTATTGTTAATAACTTATTTTACCCTTTAGTCTGTTAACTCGTTACTGTTGTAATTATTCATTACTTTTTCATTATTTATCTTTTAGTTTTATCATGACTTAGATTTTTTTACATGGCTATCTCGAGCACATCATCTCTTTGATTTCATTTTTCTATTATTTATATTTTTTAACAAATTCGTTATTATGAATAATAATAATAATCCCTTTTTGTATTAATATTTATTAGCATTATTACAATCCCTCTATGTATCGAGGTATTTGTATATTCATATTTATATATTTATTTCTAGCACATTATCTCTTTGATATAATATTTTTAAGGAATAATAATAATACAAAATATCCTTTTAAAAATAAAATTGCGTGATTTTTATAATGCAGAATTATCCACTTGTAAAATCTTATCTTATAGTGAACATTTGATTTGTGTCAGTAAAGGCTAAGCTGAGGCGTTTTGTATTATTATTACCTAATCTATTAAAATAGGTTACATTTAAATTAAAACCACACATGACATTACATCACATGGTACTTGTTAGACGCTTTTATCGAAAGCGAATTACATACTCAATACTGTGGGCAATCAAACCCAGGGACACAACAACATGCTGACTGCAGAGGGGTTTGAACCTGTGACCCCCTGATCCGAACACCAACGCACTAGTCCACTGCACCACACACACCTCCATACCAAATAATGAGTTTGAAGACAGAGTGTGTCTTTGTACTACCTGCTGATATTTCCTGATTTCCTTCTGGGAGCGTATGGTGCTGAACTCCTCTCTCTTCATATTGGATTTCCTGAGATCCCGCTCCGTCTTCCACAGATGGAAAATCCCCACGCAGTTCACACACATAAACAGAAACGCATTCGCCACCAGCTGCGAGAAGAGACAAGGAGATTATTTACACTTGACTATTTATCCAGCGGAAACAATATTGGTACATGTCAATCAATCACTGACAGAGAGTTGGAAAAACAAAGATATCTCTGATTGGCTGAAACACCAAACAGATCATTGCAGCATTACCCATAATCCCCTCTGTTTCAGCCCTGTTTCAAAAGTGCTGATTCTCTGGGTGTTTCTCAATGTCGAGGACGCTTCCTTGGTAGGACATGTCTTCCGAGTCAGGTCCTTCAGAAGCGAGGCAAGAATCCTTCCTAGCCTCGGAAAACGAAGAATGGTGGAACAGGTGTGCAGGTGTGCGTCATATGCAAGGCCCCGCCTTAAATGGAGTGCGATTTCCGCCAAAGATTTTGGAAATTGGTCCGTGCGCAAAGCATTGTGGGGATTTTAAGACCGCGGAGGATACACATGTGCAGCCTCGAAATGTCCCCCAACGAAAGACGCCGGCCTCGGTAGAATTCCAAGTATCCTGGACATTGGAACAGTCCTTCGGCGGTACTCGATGACGTAGCATCCTTGAAATAGTGGCTCTGGAGGATCCTTCTTCGACATTGAGAAACACCCACTGTCTGTAAATCATTCCTCTTTGTCAGACAGGAAGGTTGTATACAAGTGTGTGTCCTTTCCCTCAAAGGTCAACAGGGTCAAGAAGGCTAAAGTTGAACTCGGTAACATTTGCATTAATATACTTTGCCCCCCTTTTTATAAAGAAAGAAACTGATAATTGTGTTGCTACCGCCCACAGCCTTTAAGACTCATATTATCCACTGTTAGATAAATCCTCACCTTTATGCTCCAGTGTTTCCTAACTCGCCGCAAACACACGCCGCTGAAATTAGCTCAAGCGCAGGGTGCAGTCAAATTGTCTCGCTGCTCTTTTGGGTGATGTGGGGGCTTGGCTGATGGCTAGTCTATTTATCATCAAGTCCTAATGTGCTAATTCTGTGTTCATAATCTGAGGCAGCACCATCGATCAACATTGGCCTGACAGCNGTCACATGAGAGGCCCCGCCTTCCATTTTCCCCCAAAGATTTTGGAAATTGGTCCGTTCGCAAAGCATTGTGGGTATTTTAAGACCGCGGAGGATACACATGTGCAGCCTCGAAATTTCCCGCAACGAAGGACGCCGGCCTCGGTAGAATTCCAAGGATCCTGGACATTGGAACAGTCTTTCGGCGGGACTCCACAAGGTAGCATCCTTGAAATAGTGGCTCTGGAGGATCCTTCCTCGACATTGAGAAACACCCTCTATCTTTTAGTTTAGATGAAAATAAGGAGCCCCTCCCCACGCCCCTCTGAGAGATATTTGGTTAAAAAGAACTCAATGGTGCCCTAGGAGGAGATACAGGTGATAAGGGGGGAGAACATGGATGCTATTGTTAATGCTCAATGCAGTCTAATGTCTGAGTTTTTTAGTTTCACCGTTTGCTCAGAACGTCTTAAATGACCTTGGTTGCTGATTGGCTAATGGTTACACAAGCCAAAACATCGTTATGACATCATAAAGTGGCCAAAATCTGATCAGCTCATTTTGAGACAGGTTTTTATCAAAATGGATTCGGACAAAAAGAGAGAGAATCTTTGTTCCTGAAACTTTCAGAGTCTCTTTCCACAGAGGGGACACATGATTATGTAGAAGAGACATGAGGAAGAGGATTTTGCATAATAGGTGACCTTTAACAAAGTAGTGAGTGATGCAGGTCATTTGCATATTTCCAGGAAACTGTACAACCTGCTGCTCACACACATTCCCCATAAGTGTGATTTGAATAAGGACGCTATTTTCTAGCACATGCAAAAGACGCCTATCTCTTTAGATGGCCGAGTCATTTGTTGATATTTGTCTACATTTGCATCTGTACTTTAACCTGTAAATGTGTTTCTTTAACCAATACTCACTTTGCATCACTATCGACAACCTAAGCCATGATTATAAGTTATCATTTAGGGTCTTAATGTTTTTAAAACAACATAACAGTGACACAGAAAACATAATAATGTACATAAAGGGAAAAGGAGACGCTAACTGATATAACACATTTCTGTTACCCTCAGTGAGAGAATCCAGAAAACAGAAAGAAAGTATATTCTTCTATACTTTTCAATCAATAGAACAGATATATAGAAAAGCTAAATATATTGTGTTAAATAGTAAGCTGTAACAGTGGCTCCATTTGAGAATGAAATTAACCAAAAAAGATAATTAAATAATGAAAAATAGAAATATATATAAAGTTAAAGTTAAATGTGTAATAAAAGATACCAAAAAAAAATATTTATACTATATAAACATAAGAAGTTAAAGTAAATTGTCCAATAAAGCATCACACAAAATATAAATATTGACATAAAAATGTGCACATTGTACTACAACAAATATCATGTACTGTATACAACAATATAAACAGTGACGTTTTAGTGTTAATAAGATATTAAATGTAGCCTACTTGTTTTAAATGTTTAAGCGATGCTAAGCTACACCACACAGGCCTGGCTTCACGTTTTGATTACAGATATAAAAGGGAACAAGCAAATTCAATAAAATGCGAAACTTGTCACTTAAAATCTTTACCTGCAAGATGGTAAAGCACTGGTTCTTACTATCATAATGGTTCAGGTATTGTGCGATCATTTTGTTGATGAGGGGGAATGATAGGAATCTGGGTGTGACCCTAGATAACAAACTGTCCTTCACTGCAAACATCGCTGCTACAACCCGCTTCTGCAGATACACTCTCTACAACATCAGGAGGATACGTCCCCTCCTGACCCAGAAAACAGCGCAGGTTCTGGTCCAGGCTCTCGTCATCTCACGCCTAGACTACTGCAACTCCCTCCTGGCTGGTCTACCTGCATGTGCCATCCGACCTCTGCAGCTCATCCAGAATGCAGCGGCTCGTCTGGTCTTCAACCTTCCTAAATTCTCCCACACCACACCGCTCCTCCGCTCCCTTCACTGGCTTCCAGTAACTGCTAGAATCCACTTCAAGACACTGGTACTTGCGTACCATGCTGTGAATGGATCTGGCCCTTCCTACATCCAGGACATGGTTAAACTGTACACCCCAGCATAGTGCTGCGTACCTGGACTCACATTCAGGTCCGGACTCAAGTCCAGAGGTTCAGGTTCAGGTCTGAACCCATGGCTTGTGTCAAGTTGTGTGAGTAACTAAAGTGAACTTATTGTGAGCTAATTATCAATTGAAAATAAACTCATAATCAACTCAAATTCAAACTCGTCAGGTTTATTGTGCTCCCTTCCAACTTGT